GTGTGTGTGTGTGTGTGTGTGTGTGTGTGTGTGTGTGTGTGTGTGTGTGTGTGTGTGTGTGTGTGTGTGTGTGTGTGTGTGTGGAATGTTGTCTTTGAATATTCTGTTAGGAGGAGATATGTTGGCTGTGGGGTTGTCGTTATAGATATGTGTGTAACAAGGAGCATAGGAGGAAGATGTTGGCAGATGTGCTAACATCTTCCCTCCTGAGTCACAGTGCTCCTTCTGGACTCCGCCCTGCAACTGGACACAAATCGGCTGTTCCTTCAAGGTGCATGCATTAAACTACAAAATAAAGCAACAAATCAAAACTTTTTTTAAGGTTTTAGGTGGATTTATTACCTCAGTTGACAGTACCTTCCTACAGTTCCTCTGTCCAATGGAAGCTAATGGGTGCAGCCAGAGGTGGGGGGTGCTTCTCCCAGAGTATGAACAGAGCAGGAGAGGCTCCAGTCCTTCTTCACCACACACACGTGTTACTGTGGCTGCAGACAGACAGTATGTCAGGAGGACGCCCCTGTTCTCTGCACATCAACATGCGTCCATCCTAAAGAAGCACTCAGACAAGGTGGAGTACACACTTCATCTATCCCTTTAGTGAAGCTGCATCTAACTAAAGACCTATGTTTATTATGAGGACTATACATGTCATGTGATCTCCTGTATATATCTAAAAGTCATACCTACAATTTCCCTAACAATGGTCAGGTCAAATGAAGAGTTTTAAATACACAGACTTGTTGTATATACACTGTACTTTGAGCTTTATACAGAGGGTTGAGAGTTTTCTTATGATTTTACTCCCAGTGTCCCATACATTGTAATATCGTCTGTTAATATTAGACACTTAACCGTCTCTAATGAATGATAACATTGAGGATTCACTGTGAGGCAAAGCCAGTTCAAAAGTGTGAAGAGTGTGAATACAGCTGTTGCAGAACTTCTCTAACGGAGTGACTGCATTAAAGCCTTCCCTGTAACATATGACGGCTGTCTGTGCCTTTTAGGAGAACCCGTTGGCTGTCAGCAGACCTGAAGAACAGCTCACTGACAGGACCTCCTGCAGCAGAGTGAAGGAGGAGCTCAGCCCAGACAGCTTCAGCCTCTCTTACAGGGACATGTCTCCTCCTTCACCCTGGAGGAGAGACCTTGCCTCACCCATGGTTGTTTCAGATCTCAGGGACCGGCTGTCCACTCTCCCTGGCAGCAGATCCGCTCAGCAGAGCCTCTCCAGCTCCAACATGAAAGTCCAGAAACTGAACCACCCAGTGCGCCTGCAGCTGACCTCTGCCGTCCTGCATCCAACATACAGCCCTCGCTCAGGGGACTCCAGGAGGAGTCGTCGGGGGGGGGCCAAACTGTGCCCTTATGGAGGACATCCTGTGTCTCCCTTTCAGGCCGAGTACTGGGCCTGTGCCATCCCCCCAGCTCTGCCTCTATCTCCGGACAGACAGACCACGAGCTGGGATCCTAACAGGGAGTACCAAGCGCTGTTGGACTACAGCTACCCTCTGAGAGCGGGACAGCCGCTCTGTGCGGGGGACAGCCCTGAGCACCAGGAACACACTCTCAACCCGCAGGACTCAGGGATAGAGCAGGACCTCCTATGTAGCTCTGACAGTATGTCTCTCAGTGGGGGGCACAGGTATCCTAGCCTACAGGGGCTCAAAGCCTCTGGTACCTCACTCTCCCTTGCAGACTTGTACTGCAGTCCCCATCAGCAATGTGCACTGTCCAGGTGTGCATTTGAGGAGCTGGACGAGGTCTTCTGTCCTCTTCCAGAGCAGCTGGAGGGGCTGCAGCTGCTGCCTAGACAGGTGGGCACACTCTGAGACCACTGACCTGCATCTGGTTCAAACGGCTGCTTCCTCATATTCAAGATTCTAGATTCAAAGGCTTTATTATCATATAAAATCTGAAGTCCAGGCTCCACTAACAATGGAACATTATATATACAGATGAGGAAATAATTATTTGATCCTTTGCAGATTTTGTAAGTTTGCCCACTTACAAAGAAATGAAGAGTCTATAATTGTAATGTTAGGTTTATTTTACTAATGAGAGAAAGAATATTAAAAAGAAAATCGAGACATTGACAAGATTTGCATTTAACCATGGGTAATAAATATTTGACCCCCTTGTAAACATGTGTTAGTACTTGGTGGAGAAACCCTTGTTGGATGCACAGAGGTCAGACGCGTCTTGTAGTTGGTCTCCAGGTTTGTGCACATCTCAGGAAGGATTTTGGTCCACTCCTCTCTGAAGATCCTCTCAAAATCCAGAAGGTTTTGAGGCTGATGCTTGGCATCTGGAAGCTTCAGCTCCCTCCACAGATTTTCTATGGGATTAAGGTCTGGAGACTGGCTAGGCCCCTCCATCACCTCAATGTGCTTCTTCTTTAGCCACTCCTGTGTTGCCTTGTTCAGGGTCATTGTCCTGCTGGAAGACCCCTCCATGACCCATTTCCAGTGTCATGGCAGAGTGAAGGAGGCTATCTGCCAAGATTTAACGGTATACAGCCCCACACATACTCTCCTCGATGCAGGAAGTCCTCCTGTCCCCTTAGCAGGGAAACACCCTCGAAGCATAATCTTTCCAACTCCATGCTTGACGTTGGGGATGGTGTTCAGCCTTTCTCTTCCTTCAAACACCGCGTGTCGATGCCAAAGATCTCGATGTTGGTCTCATCTGACCACATCACCTCCTCCCAAGCCTTCTCTGAATCCTTCAGATGTTCATTGTCAAACTTCAGACGGGCCTTTCATGTTCTTCTTGAGCAGGGGGCCTCCAGGCGGTGCAGGGTTTGATCCATTATGGTGTAGTGTGTTACCAATAGTTTTCTTGGTGACTGTGGTCCCAGCTGCCTTGAGATCATTAACAAGTTCCTCCGTGTAGTTCTTGGCTGATCCCTCACCTTTCTCCTGATCATCCATACCCCACAGGGCGAGATCTTGTGTGGAGCCCCAGCCCGAGGGCGATTGATGCTCATTTTGTGTTTTTTCCATTTCCGAATAATTCAACCAACAGTTCTCTCCATCTCACCAAGCTGCTTTATGATGGTCTTGTTGCCAATCCCAGCCTCGTGAAGGTCTACAATCTTGTCCCTGAGGTCCTTAGACAGCTCTTTAGTCTTGCCATGGTCGAGAGGTTGTACTCCCTGTCGTCCTCGTTGGAGATGAGTCCAACCATGGCGGAGTCGTCAGAGAACTTCTGCAGGTGACAGGTTGCAGTGTTGTGGGTGAAGTCTGCAGTGTAGAGGGTGAAGAGAAACGGTGCCAGCACTGTCTCCTGGGGGTCCCCTATGCTGATGATGGTGTCTGATTGGACACTCCCGGGTCCTCACGTACTGTGGACGGTTGGTGAGGTAGTCCAGGATCCGAGGAGGTGAGGTGGTGGATCCACCCCCGAGAGCTGCAGCTTG